TAATTAATTTATGATTAAGAGAAAAACATGGGATAAATACATTCAGAGAAAACTAGTTTATCTGCCTTTTAAATCAAGCTGCACTGTATGTATTACTATTGATTGGGCCAAAATATATTATCTTTTTCAACTGTTCTTCACTAAAATAACTACTTTGTTTAGGACAATTCACTATCAAACCTCAGCAGCACTAGAAATTAAATTAAAATCAACAGGTTATATAGTCAATAGTTGTGTCCTGCTTCTGGAATATACTCTTCTTCTATTCTAGTCTGCTCCAACAAACAGCCATTCGTGATTCAAATCTGCTCAAAATTGCTGATGGACATTCTTGGATAGGGTTCAAAGTAGGGAACAACAAGAAGTTCAATGGCATAGCTGGAAACAAATGTAAGAATCTCAGAATTAAAATTATTGTAATGAAATTGACATATACTGTTCTCTAATGCATATCTAAGAGAATGTAGTCCAGAGTTATAAAGTGATTCACATTTAAAGGGGAAAAGGTGATTCAAAGCACAAATCTGTCAAGGTACATATTGTACATATTGATAACACCTTAAATCATATATATTATTTTCTAACTTTGTACAGCTGAGTTATGTGAGGCTGAATAGAGAAGCAGCTTCTTTATTTGAAGGAAAGTATCATACAGGTAGTTCTTAACTTATGGCCATGCATTTAATGAGCTTCAAAGTTATGATAATCCTGAAAAAAGTGACTCTACTGGTCATTGCACTTACAACCACTGCAACATTCCTGCACTCATATTATCAAAAAATTGATGTTGGCAATTGGCATATATTTTAAAAATTATTTGTCACTGGGCTTAATTTCTAATCAAATGATTATCTTTATTGTCCTTATGTCAACCTGCTTTCTCTAAATCCTAGTATAATGTGTGAACCTAGACATATATTGATATGAAAGTTTTATCCAACAATATATAAATATCTGAGTCATATGTAATGCTCATAAAAATGGAAAATGTCATTTAGTTATAGTTATTATTGTAAAATATTTATTTGGTTTTACCTCCCTGAAACAAATTAGATTTGATTCACAAATTGATAAAAAGCACTATGTAGAATTAAAATATGAACTTATAAGAAATAATGTATGAGTAATCAAAGAGAAATAATTCTTGAAAGACTATTAAGACTGGAGTTTGATCTTCCCTGACTTTCCGTTTAGTACTTCCAACATCACAGTGCCCTTTGATACTGACTAGCAGCCTTTACTTATGTTCTAATAATTTCAAAAATGTCTACTCAGCATATTATACAGTACTTTGAGTTTCTTTGAGTTTTCACTCAATTACCTGATAAAAGCTGTGTTAACATGATCTAACCAATTCTGATTGTACTTAGCTTATTTTATTTCTTTATTTTTCTAATTTAGATACCACCCATCTCACTCACACTCGTACTTAGGATTGTTAAGGTAGACCATCAGATGAATTTACTATCAAGTACTTCTCTGGCCACAAGACATACAGGAAATTCTGGCTAAAAGGCAGGATTTAAAACTTCCTCCTGCCCTTTGGAGAATACTCCACCCTTTCAGTCACATGTACTGACTTCAGATGGGTGTGGTACAACACTTATTTTATTGTATATTCCACTGAAAGATCAAAAGGTTGCAAATTGTTATAGCATACAGGAACAGAAGAACGCTGTATAACAGCATAACACAAAATTTGCTTAAATTATACACTGTATGAGTCCAAGATACATACAATAACATAGAACAATGAGTGAACATTTAAGAGTGAAAGAGTGGGTCATTTCACTCAACATATGGGACATAAAATCCATGGAAAACCAGAAAGGGCAGTGAACAGCAAGAGAAACTCAAACAATACTGAATGAATAAAAATAAAGTTCAGATTGCTCCTATTGCTCATGTCCACCACAAGACTTGGAGGATCGGGCTTTCCTCTTTTCATACAATATACTTTAAATTGTTATTCTCTACTTGCTTAAACTGCTGGACATTTTTGGGGAAATGCTTACAAATTTAAATATGAGGTTTGATATAGCAAAGACATCAACAATCAATGGAAGCTAAAACTAAGAACCACTGTTATCTTCACTATCCAGCTTTCTGAGAATCAAAATAAAACACATTTAAGGATCCGATTATATATAGAAACTTTATATAAAAGTAGTAATAAAATTTACTTCAAGAAAATTCATTTTATCAAATAGAGAGGGGGCACTGGATAACCAGAAATGAAAATAATGCTTTGCTGAGTAAGATCTAAATTCAGAAAATCCAGTATGCTATTTCCTAGCCAAAATTATTTGAATTCACAAGCAAACTCTGGAAATGATGGCACTTTGAAGGATACCTACCCCTTGGTAATTAAAAGATCTAGCATGTATTCTGGACATAGCATCCCATTCAACAATCATTGACAGCTGAGTGGTTAAATACTGGGAAATAGAGGTAGCCCTCGAGTTACAATAGTTCATTTAATGACAGTTCAAAGCAACAACGGCACTTTAAAAAGTGACTTATGTCTGTTTTTCACAGTTACAAATGTTGCAGCATCCCAGCGGTCATATGATCAAAATGTGGACACTTGGCAACTGACTCATAGTTAGTTGCAGTATCCCAGGGTCATGTGATCACTTGCAACCTTTCTGACAAGCAAAGTCAATGGGGAAGCCAGATTCACATAACATCCATGTCATTAACTTAACAACTGCAGTGGTTCACTTAACAACTGTGGCAAGAAAGGTCATAAAATGGGGGGGGATTCACTTTAAAAATTTCTCATCAACAGAAATGTTAGGCTCAATTGTAGTTGTAGTAGTAGAACTATCTGTACAGATTCAGCCATGGAGATCAATGGGTGGAATAAGCCCAATATATGTTATATATGCTGATCTAAGCAAAACATGATTTTGAGAATCTTTTTATTGCTTCTATTGTTAGAAGTCAGAAATGTTGCTGCTCTATTCCAAATCATTAAACCATGCTATTTTACAAGCATATTGAAATAATCGATAGAGTTAGAAAATTCTCTCAATTATCTTTTACTTGGAAAAAAGTTTACATTTTATAAATACAGTAAATACTTCACTCAGTTTTCACCTGCCATATTCATCCATTAATTTTTGGTCCAGTTTTGGTGAGAAAGACAATGCATTTGAAATATTTTGCAGTTCATCAAAGACCCAGCCTTAATGAGTGAACTTTAAGCTATTCCTCTTGTCGTTATCTTCATTTAGAGACAAGAACAAATGAATACATCAAATGAATCGGTCGTTTTTGACATTTAATGAGGATTTGCCCAGGAATCATGCTTTGCAGAGATCCAGACACAGTAGAATCCATCAATACTACGTTTTCTAAGAGTAAGTTCAAGTGGCATCAATCACAGCCACTTGGTGCAGGGTTGACTTCAAACAGGCTAACGAAGAGCCCGTTTCTGTGAGGAGCTTTGGCAGCGGAGAAGCCGCCAGTTCGCCCCTCTCAAGCAGTCTATTCCCTAGCGCCAGTTCAACTCACCAGATACTCGGCGAAGACGCTGCCTCCCCTTCCGCCATAGCTGTTGACGTGCCCCTAGCCGTGCCGTAAAGCGCGCTCTAAATTTCCAAGGTTCTGCGCCGTTCACACCCCAAACCCATGTATGGCCGTCGTAAAAGCGCAACAGCTGCGATGACGCCAAACATATAGAACTATAACATAAGATTCGCCCGCCTCGTTTTGCTTCCTCGAAGCGGGTTCCTGCGGGCGAAAGAGCTATCCGTAACTTCAGCTTCAGTCAGGGGTCAGAAAACGAAGTTTTAAGAATATAAAGATGCCCTGAAGATTCTGGGGCTTATTTCTGAGTCCCTAGGCATACCGTTTCAACCTGAAAGCCTAATTCAGAGGACTTCAAACTTGGCAACTTTAAGACTTGTGGAAGCCCACAATTCTTAAAGTTGTCAAGTTTGGGGACCCCTGAGTCTCTAACCGATTATATTAGAATCTTTTTTTTTAATGGAGACTGCATAATATTTTGTTATACACATCTCAGATAAACATTTTTGGAAGCTAGAAGCTTTTTGAGGGCTTTTACAGTTAGAACTCAAAAACCTTTGCTGGTCTTCTTCACACCACGAAGAGATAAATCAACAGACCCTCATCTGCTTCTGATAGATTAACAGATGAAGAGTTGGAAGGGGTCCCACAGGTCATCTAGTCCAACCCCCACCCCCACCCCAAGATGGCAGAGATGCTTGCCTGAAGAAGTGATCAGTGGCCTGGCTTGCCGCCCTTAATGGAGGTACATTTACAGGCGTAATTCCCGATCGTCTGAAAATTAGACTGAACTGATATAGATCTCTCCGAAACTTACCACGCCTTTACGCTAACAATCGCACCATGCTCCAGCGGCATTGGTTTTAAAGTGTCATCCGATTCGTGTTATCTATTCCAGCACACAGCACAACTTGGCTCGAAATGTAAACACAAAGAAATCTTGACATTTTGCTGCCAGTAGTATGCTAAATCACGAACCCGGCGGCTAACTCTGAGCAAAATAATATAGCTAAGGTTCAGAACGGTAAACAAAATTACGACATTTGAGTAAGCAATCTATTTTGCTTGAAACCCCTGAATCCCAAACCAAGCCCCCCACCACCACCACCTGTTAAGGGGTAATTTAGTTACGGATGAGCCTACACTGCAACCCTGGTTAAAATATAGTTTGGTTTACCGCTCCCCAAACTTGGCAACTTTAAGACTTGTGGACTTCAACTCCCAGAATTCCCCAGCCACCTACGCTTACAGTCTTAAAGTTGCCAAGTTTGAAGATCTTTGGCTTAGGGTTTTGCGAGCAGAAACATCGGGTCGTCAACCGTAGTTGATGCTTTATCTCCTTTTGCAAAGGCTGCATCAGCGCAGCTGGGAGTCCCGCAACCCGAGAGCAAATGTCCTCCACGTGTTTCCTCAGAAGCAAGTGCGATTACATGGAATAGTAATGGAAATGTCTTATTCTAGTCGTAGAGCAGTGAACTGTTTGCAACTCTGTGGATTTGCGGTGCCTTTCTCCTCCCCTTCCTGCTTCCATCTCAGGTCACTGCCTGCTGCGAGCCAAACGAAAGTAAACCTCCACTTTGAAAGTCCCCCCTGCCCGACCCACTGGGCGGGATTCGGGAGTTCAAAGCGGCAGCCGGCAGCGGGCAGAGGCGGCGTGGGTTACACAGCATGGCAGACACGTTGGACGAGCCTTGGTGGGAGACACCTGGAGGAACTAAGGAACCAGGTACTGGGCTTTGGGAAAAGCGTGGAAGTTTTGCGATGCTGCCTGGGTGATTTTATATAGACGGCTTCATCGGCTCAATATGTTCCCTAATATTATTTGATTGCTTGTTTGTACCCTATGACTATCATTAAGTGTTGTACTTTATAATTCTTGACGAATGTATCTTGTCTTTTTATGTACACTGAGAGCATATGGACCAAAGACAAATTCCTTGTGTGTCCTACCACACTTGGCCAATAAAGAATTCTATTCTTTTCTTCTATTCTTCTCATATTTATCTGCAGTCTTTTCACATTGCTCTGGGTATTTAGAAAGGTCTCAGAAAGGAAGAGTCTGCAATCTGACTGATTACATATTCCTATGTAATGGATATAAAATGTAATTATTGTAAGATCTAATCAGTATGTGGAAATG